GATTCGAAAAATGCACAAGCTCAAAAATCGTGGCGGAAATAATGTAATGGAAAGTCTTTAGAAAATATTTAAAGAAAACTTGATATTTTAATTATTTGCGAATGCACCCTTCCTTTTGTAAATGTAATATATTTAGTAATAAAATAACTAAATTTCAGTTAAAGTTACACGAAATTTCCTGTCTCATCTTTCATTATTCTTAACCCGTGAAATTAAACTACGCTTATGGTGTCAGAGAAGATGCATCGATGTGGAAAAGATGCGCTAATATGTGTTTACACAAATAATGAAAGGACGAGCGCTTTCACAGGCTGATTATCCTGCGGCGAGTGGGACTAAAAGGACTTGCGTTCGCTACGTGCGAGCTATTTCCGCGTCAGTCCTTTTGCGCGCTCTCCTCGAAGGGAGAAATCGTAACGCTTTAGGATTGCGGTTCGCCTCGTTTGCGAAGCTGTACGTTGCTAACTGCACTGCTAACGAGAATCGAGCGGGAATTGCAATAGCCATACGTCGCACTATGACGTCTTCCCCGTCGTTCGGCTGAATAAAGCCTGAGCTCTCGAGCTATGTATGGCTTATTAATTAAACTTGTCGCATTGCGAAACGCCTCAGCGAGGTCGTAACTGCTGAGGAAGCTGCACCGATCGATCGCACGTAAATGTCTATTAGTATGTAAACGCCATTTGTAAACTGCTGACTGCGCTCCAAAATATTTAAATCTAATAGAGAATATCGGTAGCATTATTCCTTTCCCTTCCTCCGATCCCATATCGGATTGCAAATATCGATACTTTATCCGAATGCGAACAGAGCACGTAAAGCATATTTTTTGTTATAAACATGGAACATTGATAATATTTTTTTTTAATAAATAAATTTTATTTTGGATTTCAAATTTATTTGCAATCAGAATTTGTTCTATTATCCACAGAGTTTTTATGTTATTTTTTTATACGTGCAATAAATATTAGATATTTTTAATGTTTTCGTCACTAACAATAATGTTTACCATTTTTACATTTATACGACGCTATCGATGTAATACTAGTATTTTAAAATTCATTTCCTTGGGATTCTTGTATTTCTTTCCTGATAATATTGGCATTGTCAGTGACGAACGTGGTGAGCGGTTTCATCAAGATATCTCGTGCATAGAAAAGAGGTATCAAGGTAAAATGGAATTTCAATATGTTGACTAGATATTGTTGCACCAAAGGGAGACATTTCAAAAGAAAACATCAGAAAATAATCAATTTTCAAATAATTTAAATATACGAAATAAATCAATTTTTTATGCAGTATATTGTATTTCGTGTGAAAATTTTACGTAATAGAGAAAAGTAAGTAATACATAAAATTTTTATTGGAATCACATTTTTCTTCAGTGACAAAAAATAAATATACTACTTTGCAAATCTATATTATTTTTATAATCAGGGACGTTTTGCTCTATCAAATTAATAAAAATAAATATCGATTGATTATATTCCTTTTCAGTAGTTGTTCAATTGCATTAATTATATAATACTAATTGACGAATCGGAGATCAATCGCAAGGAAGTCAATACGTCGATAACTATCCGAATTTAGGCATTCAACTGAAAATAACGTTTAATAACTTTTACGAAAAGATAGCGTAACAAATCTCTTTCGTTATATCGAGAAAGAGAAGACGTGACGGAAATGCAAAGAAATAAAAGCTTTCCAATCGGGGTGAGACACAATGGAACCCTTCGGCAAGTGCAACAGGGATTTAAGTATGCGGTGCATAGAACAAATGGGCCTCTTCGGGATTTTTATCCGGTCTTTGCCTGATAGAAATATACGAAAGAAGAAAGGAAGGCTCGAGGCAATGTTCTTTACGGCTTCTTTTCAAGATCCTGAAATTCGATGAGGTATATTGGAATAAAATACAAAAAGTGGAATATAATATTAGTGCGATACACGAAATGGAATTACGTTGGATTCGTCAGAAAATAATGATTAAACGATATAAATTGTTAGTTTAAAATTGCTAATACTTATTACAAAAGATTAGTAAAATGATTTAAAAGAAGTGGCATTTATGTGAAATTGATGCAAAGAACTTGAATATATTTCACAGATGTTTTCACAATAAATTGTGCTTTATTATCATAAACACGTTTCTTCTTATTGTATATGTACTTATGAATCGTCCCATTCATTTTTATGTTTTATATCGCGCCTTCCGGAAAAAGGGCCATAAAGTCTCCAAGGGAATTATGAGAGATATATATGCCATTATGAAATTCTACGGAGGATGGAAAACGCCATATTCCCCGTTCCGAATTACAGCGATTTCCGGCAACTGCGCCGGGCTGTTCAACGTTCACGGAGGTGGACCAGAATCCCGTAGAAATTATGACAATTAGCGCAATTAAAATTGGTTCGCGATTAATTTGAATTTGCATACCACCATCATAGTGGCCGCGTAAACACGCGATATACAAGACACCATTTGCAAACAGCATATATAAATTAATGTATCTGTATTAGAGTATATCATGTACGCACATCTATGCGTGTTTTGCTTTCTCATGAAAATATATTTACATAGAGTAAGATGATTGAAGCTTGAAGAAAATGGAAAGAAAGATTATATTAACTCAATTTATAAATAAAGTTATTGATATTGACAAATTAAATTTAATTCTGACATTTGGTTCAAAAAAATTATTTAATAATAAAGGTTTCATTAAATTTTCTTCCTAAAGATAATTAAAGAAGTGTATTAAATTACTCTCGTTGTAATTTTAACTTTAGCTCAGCTAAAAAAGATAATATGCATATCTATGACACGTAAATACAATATTAATATAATATTGTTTTAATGAGATATATATATAAGGATATGAGTGCAATAGTAAGAATTAAAAGTTAAAATATACAGTTATAAGATTTGAAAAGGTTCATCTAATCGGTTTAATAACCGAATTGATAAAACAAAGATAAGACAAAACAAGAGAAGCGTGGAATAAATAAATCAAATCTTTTTATAATTCTATAATTCTTAATCTTTTATAATTCTATTAATCTCTATGTCTTTTTAAATGGGTCTAGAAATGACTTGTTAAATTATCTTTATTATATGCGTGATGTTCTATAAAGTCACAAAAAATACATTTTTGCAGTGAATGTCTGTCAATGTGAAATGTCGCCAGAGCGAGTTATCAGAATCATTCTTCTTCCTCATTAGATACTTCATGTTCGAAATATGAGTGTGCTTTATGTGGAGTATCTATATATTTTGCGTTATATTGGCGATTACATATTTTGCATACTATTTTTATCATCTTTTCATTCAAAATGTTACCATGTCCAACTTGTCTGGAATGGTGCCGTTACATCCGCATAATATCATATAGAACACATCAACTATGATAAGATACTCGATGTGAACTGTTTATAAAAGGTGAAAAATCGTGAATCTTTGTTTAAATATAAACAAATATTAGTATATATTTCGATTTTATTGTGGATAGCAAAGACAAGTCGTCCTGTGTTTAAATATTCGTATTCCGGAAGCCAAATCCGAAAGTTTTCTCATAAGGAATTAGAAGAGGAATTAATTTTTGATAGAAAGTTTATATGCCCACATGAAATCATTCAATTTTTTATTTATAAAAATACATAATATTATCAAAAAATAATATTTAAAAATTTTTTATAAATTAGAAATACATATTGATATAGTTTTCGTCTTGTCTAATTATCAAATTGTACTACTCCACATCTAATTATTATAGTAATTAAGATAAGTAATAATACATAAAAGTATTATTATTTGATATATGGTTTTAATATTTAATTTGAAATCTGCTTTATCGCTGTTTGTTGTTCATGAGTTGCACTATAATCTGCAATTAGAATTAACAATAATTAATATTATGTATAATGAGATATTTTGCTTATATATATTATATGATTATTAGTTCTGTATATATTTTCTTATTATTTAAATATCTGCATAATCGAATGTTCATTCAAATATTATTCGCGAAAAATATTTGCATTCAAATGAAATTCATTCAATTACTAAACATTCAGATGATAAGAGAAAGACAGAGATTTAAATTAAACTTTCTTAAATATTGTAATGAATATAAAAATATTTCATTTCAAATCTTAAAAATTTTTAAAGTTTTTATACCCTACATCATATTTAATTACACCTATACCTTAATTACAATATTTCATTATTCAAATTTTGATATATTTATTGCAAACCAAATCTATTATATTGATTTATGGAAGATGAAAATAATGTTTGTAACAATTATCAGTAATGTCCTTAATTTTCGATAATTTCCGTGAATATTCCGTATTACTGAAACTTGCATTATATATATTTATTCGCATTATTCTACTCGGGCGCGTTGTGATTCTGCGAGTTAGCGCGAGACTCAAAGTCAAAAAGATCCGGGATTCGAATCCCGGCTGACAGTATTTACAAGCGATGACGGATGGCAAACCACTTAAAGTGATTCTGCCGAGAAAAATTCCTATATTGGCCGTTCGGAACCGGCAAAACAATAGATCTCATATATCCATGTTAATACAATACGAATATATGCCGGAAAGCGCGATGGAAGACGTCAAAAAACCGGATATATATATATACACATATATATATATATATATATATATATATATATATATATATATATATGTATATGGTAGACATACAAATTATTAAAATTCATTAATTTCACCGTTCGCTCACGAAATAAAAATAATGAGGAAACATATTACGAGAAAATGACAACAATTAACTTTTATACATTTGAGTATCTCTCTAATATGCTTTTTTGATGCGTAATGTTTGTAATTTTTTCTTATTATTTTCTTGTATTTAATTCAAATTACATGCTTCCGCATGCTTCACGATATGCGTATATAAAATCCTTTAATCATATTTTCCTTTTTATATACAATTCTAATTTTTTTATATGTGTGTAAAGATTTATACAAAAGGAGGTATTATTGATTTTTTTCGGGTTAATGTAAAGATTAACAATGTCCGAATGCATTATGTCTATGAACTGAAGGTCCCACAAAAATGATCATTTTCGAAAAGAAAAGAAGAAGGATCAAATGAGAAGAAGAAACCGATGGAGATAGAAAGAGAGAGATAGGAGAGGGTGGTCGTTCCTCTTGTTGGCGAAAAAAGAGAGGTCGACTCATGAATAATGCGGGGGTGAAAGCCGGCTGAAACAATTGCCGAGCGTCGCCCTACTCCAGAAATTACATCGTCAGATTTTCCGCGAAATTAAAACATTATACCGGGTGCCCGACCTATCATGTGCTCCCTGCGTCAGTCGCAGATTTCTTAACGAATTTCTACTTCGGTAATTTTTAACGTTAAATGCCTCCGTAAGCGCAGAGTGAAAACGAGATAAGATAATTCAACGTTAGATAAGAAATAATTTCTCTTCTTATCTTCTTATTCACGATCTTTTGAGCTTAATTTATCGTATTTCCTCTTTAATTACCTATTAAGATATCCTAATTTTCATATATCCTAATTTTAAGATAGATTTTGTTGTTTAAGCTATTTCTTATTTTCTGTTATATCTCTGATTTTTTTATAGAAATATTTGGCGCGTGGATAATTTTGTTCACGTTTTAAAAATTTCAGAACTTTCTTTTTCTTTTTTTAACTGATAAAAAATACCTGACACACAGGGTATACTTCATTCCCGTCTACGGCCACTCGTCTTCCCATCCCTTCTCATTGCCCTTTTCTACTTACGCGAATAATACGTCAGCTCGTCCCGGAGAAAAAAATCGCCGATTATGCGATCTGACTGACGGCGATACGCCGGCGAGGACACTTTTCCTCAGGATTTAGTAGCTCGTTCTTGCCGAGAACGAAATTGCGAGGCTGGCTCGCGCCAGGCGGCCGCCAAGCAATTTCTAGGATAATGTTGGTCCTGTTATTAAACATCCTTATGGTCGCCGTCGTCTCTGGAGAACGCGTTTTCTAAAACCGAAGATGTCGCACGAATTGGAATAAAAGTTCAAACGCAATTTGTGGAAATCTCGCAATTATTATTTATCTATCTATTATTACTATTAAATGGATAAATATTTGAAAAAAAGTAATCTTCATCAATGTGATTTATTTTCTACAACTGAAATATATTTTTAGTATAAAATTATTTTATAAAATTATATATGTATCTTTTGCTTTCAATTTCAAAGCTTATCTGTGTTTAGAACATCATTGAATTCTCAGAAATATATTGACTTCATATCTATGTTTCAGGTCTAGACATAGGGCTTGAGCGAGTGGGATACAGAATGAATCGTTCTTCTAGAACGCAAAATGGCAAATTATATGTAATAATCCGTATATTAAAAAAAATTTTATATTAAATTAAATATATATCGAGGAAAATTTGCAAAACTTGAAGCACAGTGCATGCGAAATTCCATTTTAAATAAATAGAATATATTTCAAAAATGAATTTCTTAAGAGCGTTTCTTATTTCAATAACTTATACAAATTGAACGTAAAATTATTTTACAAAATCTCGCATGTATTATTGTAAAAGAGGAGGAAAAGAGTACAAAATCGAGTTTTTTTAATTCTTAAAATATATTTTTTTTTCTCTTTTCTCCTTCATTTTTTTCCACACTTTCACATATTTTTGGATAATGCAATCTTCCGAAATTTCATTCACTTTTCTCTATCGGTGCTCTCTATATGCGGCTTTTGCAAAAGGAAGGCGATATTCAAGATCCTTTCTCCACGGTTCTGCTAGCAGCTCTCGAGTAAATCCCCGTTTCAAGCTGCGCGACCCTTGCCCGTTGCCTCAATGGTGTTGATTGCTTATCTGAATATGCATAATCGCGACGATAATGACAGCGCTCGGGCCGAACGGTCGGCCATGCGCCGTGCATACGTAACGAGAATGCAATTCCCTTATGTGTCTGCATATGGACGATCGCCGACAATAAAGCGATCATCGCTGCTTATACGGAAATTCGACTCATGATCCTTCTGATAGCGGATCAAATATTTGTGGGATCCTCCCAATATCTCTCCCTTCAATGCTGGATTAAATATAAAGGCGCACTTCCGCATTTCCGTTATCCGTCAATTCTTTTCCCTCCTCCTAAATATTTAAGTTATGTACGCAAATTTTTATTTATTTGCATTTGTTCGTTTTTATTCCGATTTTCATGCTTTAAATTTCCACTTTTTTTTTCTCGAGTCACAGGGAAGCTTTTTCATGTAATTTGTTTAAAACGTAATACGCATTTTATTTATTATTACGACGCGTTTTGTGCTGCGCTTCATTTCATAAAAATGCGGTTTATTGTCGAATTTTATGACTGACCAATAACACAATGTAACCGAGCGTACAGTTTTTTCCAATTTATCCTATGTGTTTATATGTTAATACGCTCAACGTCGGAATTTGTATTTATATGCACGAGAGATATAAAAGAACCCGCAAAAGACTGACGTGTGCGGTATAGAAATATTATAAACGCGCGTACGTATGGCCTCTTTTTTCCTCGTACCTTCTGCGCGATCGTAAAAATTTCTAGATAAAAAGGCAAGTTGCGCGAAATTTTTTTTGCGGGCCTCCCTCTCTTTTCCCCTTTCTTCCTGCCATTTATCCGCTTTAATAAATTGTAATTTATTTTAGCGTTATTATTAATTGTTCAGTGAATGGTGGCGCGGAAGCGCTCGTCTCGCCATTTAGAAAATTCAGCTCTGAAGCCGGAACGGACCGGGAAGTGGCGGTAATTTTAGGATAATTTGTATGTCCACACATGGCGCGCCAATTTGCACCAGACATTCGGTGTGCCAAACATTAGGTGTGCTTGGACAACCTTCGTCTCCGTAAGGCTACATGCATCATGTATGTGCGGACGCGCACGTCTGGCGTTTGGTCTCTTCGGGATATACGGGAACGGATTTTCTGTTCACACCGAAATTTATATCGGCTAAGGGGAGAAATACAAAAAGGAGACGAGAGAGAACGATCGTCGCAGATCTAATTTTTTAAATAGCAGCGAGGACACGTGGTGAAATTTCAATTTTTTTTTATCTCGGATTTCATAATTGTATTGAGGGATTACGTCAACTAAAAGTTTTTGTTGAGGCAAAACCACATGAATACTGATACTAACAATACCAAAACTGAGCTTATCTAAATAACGTCCGTTTATTATTCGAGAGTCATTCGAGTTTGAAACCTCGATCGCCGAAGGGACGGCATTTTCTCTTTGGCATTTATAGCGTCAAGGGGGATGAATGGGGAGGAGGCGCGCGCGACGCCGGAAACGCTCTGGATGTCCGTTCCCGATGAGGAAAAAGTTTGCGTATCCCATCGTGGTTTTTTGCGGCGTCTGGACATAATAAAATAACGCGCGCAGGGGCGTATAACGAATTGAATTTCTGCAGGAATGACCCGAGGCGCGCGTCGCGGAAGAGTATGCGTCGGGGGGGAGGGGGGGAGGAGGCCGGGAGATACACATATATATATACATATATATATATATATATATACATACACGTATCCCTGTACGCGAAGTTATAATAAATTCAAAGCGAACGGGGACACAGTGGTGGGCGGGCGCGGCTCTCGGGTTACGTCTGGATTTCGCATGGAATATTCCGCACGCGAATTCAAAATCCTCAGTTTGCGCTAAAAGTGTCTAAAAGCCGGCCGTTAAAGTACGGGGGCCGGCCGTTCCCGCCAAGTCGCGAATGAAGAGCGTATAAGACGCAGAATTTCCTCGCTACTTTTCCTTTCGAGTTTCTCGAAGGACGCTTCTCCTTCCGGAGGGTATGCTCATCGCAATTTTTTGCCATTTTTTGACATTCATTCTATCTCAATCCGTTCGTTCTGTTGTTTGTTATCCTTTAATTTTACTTGTATATATTTCACTAATCTACATTTTGATACGTGTTTATCGTAACACTTTGATGTCTCTCTCTCTCTCTCTCTCTCTCTCTGCTGCGTTGATCTTATTTGCATCGTATTTATTCCGTATTAATTTTGAAAGAGAAGCGTCAACTATAATTTTTTTCGTCACTTTTTTATCGTATTAAATTTATCGCCTTTATAAATTTTTATTTCACATAAATTTTACTTGATTTATTATACTAAAATTTAAAAGTTCTGCTGTTTTAATAAATTGCGATGTTTATATTTTTCTTTCTTTTTTGTATATATATATATATATATATATGTAATAAAAAAATTAAACATTTTCGTTTAACGAAAATCGTTGCCATCAAGATGCGACGTTTCAAAAAACAGTTTTTCAAGTTATTTCAGATGGCAGTTATTGACTCATCCTGTATATTTAGCCGTGTAGTCTTTCGTGCGTTGTAATGTCATTTATATCTACACAGATTTTGATGAGAATCGACATTTTTAATGGTAATTTATGCTAAAAGCGCGACCGCGATAAATGCTTCATGACTAAAAGAATGTGTAAATACACGTACTCTCATTCCCCGAAGTAGTTAAGGCCTATTTTCACGCGTCATTGCTTCGCACACACAACTAATGGACCACTTCTATTCATTATGTCAAGCAGATCGCGAATAGTATCGCTGTCGCTAAGAAACCGCAATGTTAATGTGGCCTTAAATCAGCCAATAGTGACGCATGACGAGGAAAATATGTTTTGCACAGATTCTTTTTGATATGATAATATAAAAAAATGAATGAAGTTTGCTTTTGTCGGTAGCATTAACATAAGTTTTGATACGCGAGGCGAAAAAGGGGAATCATTCGTCATCCCGATCTCCTCTGCTGAATAATAAAATGGCAAAAAAATGTTGCGCAATTTAACCGGCTTCTCAAATGAATTGTGTTATGACGTAATACCGATTGCTTTTCTAATGCTTTTCTACCTTTATACGTTAATTTTATCCTAACGAATGTTCATGTACGTAATCGAAAACATCAGTGAAGTCTAGCGCGCTTTCACTTGATGGTTAAATTTCTCCTTAATATTTAAAAAATGTTTTTTTTCATTTACACAGTTATAGTTATAGTGAAATAATATGTAATTCGACTGTTTCATTCCGTGAAAGAAGCCGAAAAGAATTGGGGAATCGCGTGTCACGAAATCTCTTTGTGAATTGCGGATGGCGTTATTTATATATATCATTTTCTGCCTTTGTGATCTTTCGCGAAATATCCATACAGATACATACACCGAAATTAATATATAATCTGGAATAAATTGTACATCAAGTTGATGTATCGACATCCAATAACATAATGTTAATAATATAATTCCTGTATAATACCGGTATTACCGTAAGATACCTATGTGTTTGAAGTTCTCACGTCATTTATTATATAATATCGAAAGGTACCGATATGAAAATGATAGTTTTGACGTCGGCTACAATCCCTCTTAATAATGTCCCACTTTTATGCGCTATCAGTTATATTACATTTTCGCATGTGCGAACAATTGGTTTCCACCGATTTTCACTCGTCTGCCAATGTTATATTAATTTGAATAACGTTGAATCGGATGAATTAATAATAAACAATTAGGTTAATTAGATCTCCAGATTGTCGGGAAATATGGATTGTTAATATAATAATTTCCTTTAACGTTACCAGTTATAATTAGTAATATTTCTATCACGATCTGTTCTTCAGACAGATAAAAATTGCATTAAAGTACGCGCGCGCGCATGTACATCTTTACAATTTTTATCACCTCTGTCTTTTATTGCCTCGGTAAAATTGCCTCTTTAGTTAAAAAAAAAAAAATAAGGAAAAACGAAAGGATTAAAGCTTTCAGCATTTTGGACAACTGTCCACACGGTGATTGCATTGCGCTGATGGTATTGCAAATTTTACACAGTGTTTTTCACACCTGGACAGCACTCATCTCCACGATTGTTCTTTGCAAATAACGCGATTTAGCGTGCGAGCCCGAGCAAAACGCTGCTAGTCATTCTCGATGCTGCAATTTATTAATGATGTTAATTCTAGGCGGAACAAAGGAAATTTCTCGCTGGCGGCTATCGATATTGCGTTTGTAAAATATGGATTACGCGGGAGATGTCCGTAACAGGTGCACACGGCCGGCCTCTCTCGATTTAATAATACAATATTCCATGTTCTATTGTATGCACGATCGGATAAATTTATTACGAGTCATAAAATCCTAAGCGGCAAACAGGGTGCACGCGCATAGCTAAAAGCTACATATGTAAATTATACAAAAGTTGCGAATTGTTTTTAATTACCGTGACCTTCCTTTGTCACTCAGCCTCGTTGGTTTCACGAGGACAACAAGATCTATCGAATAACATTTTATATATGTATACAGTTTTTCATTGTTACACAAACTTTTGACAAATTGCACTAAAGCTTGCACTTGAAAAATGCAATATCGACTTTAACGAAAAAAAAAAAAAAAAAAAGACAATTCCCGGCAATTCAACAGTGACATATTTCGCGAAGTATACGATAAACATTATTATTTTATTTATTTTATTTTATTATATATAGTTTTCGTAGTTTTTATTTCGCGCGTTATGTAAACATAGGATTTCTATGTGAAATCCTATTTTGCAACCTCGCGTCTTAGGCTTTACTGCTAATTGTTCCGGCCGACAACACGCATCTTCGCGGGAAGATGCGTCATCGGTCTGGGTGTGCAACCCGCCACGCAATTCTTATGCAGCTTGCGCAACGCTCGCGTTAACCCGCGTGGGATCTGTGATTTTTCTCGCGCGGCTGTTTTCGCGCGGCTACCGAAACGGAAGCAATAATTCGCTCGCGGCCGCGGCGACGGAGTTAACGAGGTACGGGCGTACTGCCCGTTAACTTAACGCCGGCCAAATATTATTTTTGCAATTCCCGCTGAATCCCGCTAACGAGCGCGCGTTCGTGCAAAAGCGCTGACGTTCTATCTCCCTTCTCTCTCTTTCTCTCTTTCCTCCCCCCCCCTCCCCTTCTCTTTTTCTCTCTCTTTCTGCCTGTCTCTAATGTCGCGCGGGAAATTCTCGCAATCGCTGCGACAAACGCGTTAATCCATCGTTTCGCGATTTTTTTAAACGGCAACTCTGTCCCGGGGATCGAGAGACCCAAGGGGAATTCCCCGGGAAGGAAATTACCGTACGGGAGAGGGAGGAAGGGGAAATCATTTTTTCCGGCGTATCCGGGATAAAGGACAGAAACTTTCATGACGAAATACAAATAGGATTAAGGGTTGGGCATTCGCGGAAGTTTTGGAACAAGTTTTAAATCAATTGAGAAATCCGTTGTGTATACACAGTGATATTTACACGACGTGGAGTGATTTACGACGACGCGAGGCGAACAACTTCCATGATTTGCGCATCGGTGACGCACGTCTTTTCCTCTCGTCCTCTTCGCGAAGTCGCGGAGAAAAGATTTGAAGAGGGAGAGGGGAGGGGCCGTGAGGCCGCTTCGGCGAATTCGGGGTCCAGTCGGGGCCGGGTATAAAACTGCTGACCGGCTCTGCCGCCAACATCAGTAGTATAACTCCGCTCGAACATGAAGGTAAGTATAAAACTTTCTCTTTTGCTTGATATTTCGTCCTCTGCAACTTTTATCTTCCTCTTTCCCTTGGCGTTGCCCTTCGCAAATCCCTTTACTTAGCTTTTTAGGGCAACGGCCTCTTTTTCTGTCTCTCATGCATGTATTTTCCTGCTCGTTTTATCTGCTCTTTCTCTTTCGTATTCTCGACAGACTTGGTGAGCTGTGAGTGTAATTTCATCAGGTCAGATTTTATCAAATATTCATAGCGATACGTGATATAGTTCGACTAATGTTGATTTCTCTTTCTTCATTTTTTTCTAAGTGCTTAAAAATTACACGCGATGAATTACAAAATGAAAATCACAAAATGAAATTTCATTTTCAGCTTTAATTGGGTGCTGTTATATCTTTCTCTATCCCTTGATTGTAGATATTTAAAATTTTAAATAATACGCGTTCTCATTTTCATTGTAATTTTTGATTTCTAAACTTTTAAATATCTTACTTCTTTTTCGTATCACATGGGAATCGCGTAGACGTTAATTGCCGCCTTTTATTCAGCGAAAATCCCGATCCTGAGAGACCAAAAGTGAATAATGCAGCGCTAGTTCTTCGGTGCATCGAGGCTGTTTCACTGTGTCGTTAACGACCTCAGAGACCGTTTAAGGGTCTCCTACGGTGATTCAATGTCTGTCTTCTCGTACATCCTTGCAAAAATTCGCTGTTAATCCGCCGCTAACGCGCGCGCGGACTTTTTTGCAGGTGCACCGGCGGCGGCATGTGCTCTTAAATTGCGGGCGACTCGCTCGCGCCGGGAGACAAGGTAGAATTTCTTCACGAGAGTGAAAGGCGTCAGGAAGTGTTGCTCGTGGTAATGGTGACGATTGCGTAACGTTTTAAAAGGCGTGTGTGAGCCGTTGCTTAATAATAATTTTTCTTCCCACATTGTCATCTGGAACGACCTGTCTTTGTTACTCAATAAAACATCTTTCCATACGACGAGAGTTGGTGCCGGTTCATGTATCATGAACACGCAACTCTAAACGCGTAATACGTAAATCCCGTTCAAACAATTCATTCGAATTAAACGGTTATTATGGCTCTTTAAGTTCGCCGCTTTGTCGGGAAGCTATTATTGGACGCACGATGCAGCTGGATGCATGTCTTATATACGGACGTATCCATATGTTAAATATCACGGCGTCCTCTTCACTAAATGTCTCTGGGCGAGCCCACAGGATAACGTCATTTCGGTCACCGCCCTTTGCGCGCTTTACCCTTCGCCGAAGTGTAGTGGGTGTATATACCGCATATATATCGCGGTCTACGTATCCTTCTCTACGAGACAGAGAGGGGGGGGGAGAGAGAGAGAGAGAGAGAGAGAGAGAGAGAGAGAGAGAGAGGTCCATTCTATACTAATTAACATCCTAACTAACTCTCCGGCCTTAACCCGTTATGTACTAGCGTAACCATCTGGTCGCGGTCTTCAGGGAAAGGGGGGGAAGGAAGGGGAAGGATCCCCTCGCTTTTGAGTTTGAACCGGTTTGTCGAAAATCGACTGTCGCGGTTTACATTTTCGAGGAATTAAACCACGAATTTTGAGGGAAAGATCAAATCTAAGATGACATTCCGACGGCGCTTATGAAAATTATTTTAGGATCATCTTTTCGTATGGAGATAGAATCTCTTTATGAGATTAACTAACGCGTAAATTTCTTCTTCTCATTTCCCTGCCTCAGATAAATTGGAATTAAATTAAATTCTCGATTTAAATAAAACAAATCGATTTTAATTTGCAAGTTAAAAATTTCCTCCTCTTATCATCAGGCAGAATCGAATAGCTTTCGCTGTTCAAGACTTATTCCTCGGGTTTCTTGCGAAAAAAACCGAGCCGCTAAATATCGATATCTTCAAATTGGAGCAATCAATGTCATCTTATCACTCGAAGAACAAGTGTCCTATGTATGCGACGGTACGCGATATCGTCTTTCTCCCTTCACGGCGTGACATTGATCGTTCCATTTTCTTTTCGTGCAACATTCATGCATATGAATGTCCCGATAATAACTCAAACGTGTCACATCCGCCGATAATTAATTTAAGCAAGACGCCAGGTGCTGACCAGATGCAAAATTTATTATCTTAATGACATTTTCGGAAATCAATTGCTTTCGCAAAAGGCAAGAGAGCGAATCGAGCATTTCGACATCGTACGTATTTCATACACGTCGTGCCGCAGAAATATGACTTTGACATTCCATGACGCGTTCGAGATAGGAGGAGACTGTCTCTTGACGCTTCACATAGCCGCGCTTGAGAAAACCGTTTAACACATTCGGTATAATTGAATTGATTTCAAAACAGAGTTACATACCGCGTTCCACCGGCCGTCCACTCTTGCCTTTACCTGCTAATGAGACATGCAATGCGCTCGCTCTCGCGTTTACGCTCGGTTCACCGCTTCTGTTTTCCACAAGCCGGGGGGGGGGGGGCAAGGGAGAGGGGCCCTGCGCTACCTGTTTTCGATGAGCCCGCCGGAATTTCCGTAGATCGAGAGCGCGGGTATCGCGTACGGGTAGCACGCACGCACACGCTCGTTGATATTCACATCACGGCACTAAATACGCGACTGTACGTTTCGGCAGCGTGATTGTGAACGCGGCCGGCACGGCGGTAAATATTTAGCCACACACGCACGCACGACATTTAGCGTAGCGAGTTCCGAGGCCGTTCCGAATTCTGACACTTTATTCACCGTCAATCGACGTAATTTCTGGCCGTTGTATTTGGTGAATTTGGCGTCTTTCAGATTTTAGCCCCGATTTTGTACCTCATCCTTCGTTCAACCCTCACCCTCGCCATACATCACACGGACGAGTAAAGCGAATATATATGCGGGATTACACGCATTTAGATTTTTAGATATTCCTTTATATCTCGGGGAATTTTTTTTTTCAGGTCCTTGCTCTGTTCCTCCTTGCAGTAGCCTGCGCTCTGGCAGAGGATAAATATACGACGAAGTATGACAACATCGACTTGGACACGATTTTGACGAGTGAACGTTTGCTTAAAAACTATATAAATTGCGTGCTGGATAAGGGAAACTGTACGCCCGATGGTAAAGAGCTTAAAGGTGAGCATCTCGAGATTTTGGCAATTCCTCCAATTAGTATATCGTGTTATTTTTTTTATTTTTACTTTTATTTGTGTTGTTTGTGTGTTGTCTTACTTTCCAAATGTTATTGTCATTATTTCAATCATCAAACGCGATTCTCGTAATGCAATACGGAGCTAATAACGAAGGCAGAGTTAAAAAAAAAAAAAAAAGAAAGGAAAATGCGAAAGGAAAAGCGACAAATGGCGTGTCTGATGCATTTGGCACAGATAACGTGGCAAAACATGCACGATGAGATGAGACGGCGATGACGATCTTTCACACGCTTTCTAATGCGCGGGAGAACCATCCTTGGCACTAATGGCCACCTCATCCCGTCGAAGGATGCGCGCCTCATCCCGTCGAAGGATGCGCGATGCGAGGTCGTTTCGTTAACGATGTTACATATGTACGAAGCGTCGCGCATATCGCTCGAGCTCTAGATATGAATAATACGCTACAGTGGCTGCCGCGGAGGAGATTCGGGCAAAAAGTACTTTGGTCGCGAGACATTTTGCGCGTGTACACGCATGCATGTTTGCGGTTTGCGTCGCGTACAACGAACGCGTCAGTTTTTTCGGCGTGAAAATTTCGCTGGCGAACGTTACGTTTCGTCGCGCAAAAATGTATTTCGTCGAGAGCCACGCGCGCGGCCACTAGAAACCAATTACTTACTCAGTGTATTCCCGCGGATTACATCCTCTGCAAATTGTATTTAATTACTTGTCACGCGTATCACGATTTATTTCCGTCCGTTAGAATCACGTTTATCTCGTCCGCTTCTTCTCTCTGAATCTCTCTCTCTCTCTCTCTCTTTTTTTATCCCCTCGACGCGCTACCCCGTCGCGAGATAAAACGTGCGATGGACGGTAATACGTTACCGAGGATATATAGTCTTGTCTCAGAAAATTCACGAGAGATATGCGGGGATGTACGGTCAGCTGACCAGAGCAGCTGGTGCAAATGACGCGGGATGGCAAAAAAGCCCTGGACAAATCCTGCAGGACATCGCGTTACTCGAGAAATAACATACATCATTATGAACTCCATTCTACGAAGAACACCGTCGCGATAAAAGTGATTTTCACGAGAAGGATCCGTCCGTTGAAACGTTTTACTGGCGGGAAAAGGAGGAAAAAATATCGAGAGAGAGTTGACTTTTCGGCCAAGGGAATTAACTTCGAATTTTAACTACGTAATCTTATAATTCGAGAGTGCATACTTCTCCACAACAAAGTCGCGCAGAGAACGCATTTTTCGCTGCAATCACGTTCCCGATCTGAATTTCCTCCTGCCATTCTTTTTCTCTTCTTATTTCAGAGGCCCTTCCGGATGCGCTGGAGACCGAGTGCAGTAAGTGCAGCGAGAAGCAAAAGAAGGGCACCGAGAAGGTCATCCGGTTTCTAGTCAACAAGGTTCGCTCATACCTATTCGCTCGCCCGTCACTTTTCACCGGGCTAATTAAACGCGAGGTCTGCGTAATGAGTTGATGCCGGTGGGAGTAGGAACGCTCGGGGGATACGTCGAGGTGGTTTAAATGCCGCGGAACTAGTTTGACTTTCACACAGAGGCGGGTTAACCCTCTCCGTCGTGGGTGGCGGCGACCCTGTGGCAGGAGGTGTTGTGTCCCCGTGATTCGTTTGCGGACCACGCCCGGAAAACTTTCGCCAAATCCGTAGCCAAATAATTTAACGGCGATGTGAACCCGTTGTCCCTTCTCTACCCGAGTCCTTCTTCCCGAAAACTGATTTCACCCCCGACTGGGCAGTTATTCCGTTTTCCGTGTTAAAGGCAGGCCGTCTTAACCTAGTATTGTATTTCGCGGCGCGCACAATTCTTGAATCAATCCTTAGACGTGTCTGTACATCGCGAATTGCGAATTTGAAGAGGTTTTTATTTGCTTTAAAGACGTACCGTTTTATTTATTTAAGAACGTTTACCTTTGAAATTATAAGTTTTATCAATTGTGTATTATTGTCTCTCGCGTAAGTATTTCGAAGTAAACTTTATACAATGATGCTTCAGCGAAATGTATCTTTATTATGTTTATTATATCTGTACGTCAACAGTGCACTTTCGATAAACGTAATCTTGTAAACTTCCTACAGAAGATAGAAGGGCAATTGCTCAATCTTTCATTTTATTTCAGAGACCGGAAACTTGGGAGCAACTTAAGAAGAAGTACGATCCCAGTGGCCAATACAGTGTCAAGTATGTAGACGAAGCGCACAAGCAGGGAATAAACCTGTGAATAATTTAGATTCTCATCTCGCCGAGTAGAACGTCGAGAAATCTGTCCTCTCTTTTCCCCACACCGCACCCGAATTAAGTAAATCCGCTAGTTCAACATCACGTACTCTTTTTTTCTCGACCAAAAAATTCAAAAGCTACGAGGAAACATGTTATCACAGATGTTATCATAAATAATAAAGGATAAGTGTAAATGTGTGACGTTATTGCGATTTGGCGAATCATACCATAATCCAATTATCATCATCGATCCACATACGTCCATGGATAATTTCCCCTCTCCCTCCTTATCTTTGCCTTGATGGCCGAGCTGTGTTTGTACACCAGTCACGGTCGGCAATAATATATTTCTTGGTGCCACGGCTCTTCTCCCGAAAGCAGTTCGACACTTCGGGAAGAGATAAATCTAGGCACAATGCCGAGAAAAGTTCCCTGGCCGAAGTTTGAGGTCCGAACGTCGCCCTTGAGACCGGCTCGCTTAATTTCCTGACGCTGTCCAATACGTGAAATATATGTGCGCATACCTATACGACTGTACCTTCGCCATTCTCCAAAGCTCACCGGAAACCGACGGTGATTTTGTATTTCCATCGCCCCGGATCGAGGCCGAGGCTTCTCCCCCTATCGTACTCCCCCTCACATCCCTCTCGAGAAGCCCTGTCTTACTCCCTACCTCTAGGGAGAACGGAGGAGCGTATTTCATCGTCGAGAAACAAGAAGTTTGGACGATAATCGATACCGTTCAGACAAGTAACGACTGGAGTCAACTTCTTGGCGAGACCGAGTTATCAAAGTTGCATAAGGATTAACGAGAACGGCTTCGCGCGTGACACGTGTTTGCTCGTAGATCAAGTCCCGATTATTTCGAGAAACCGATGAGCGTTCGCGACGTTTGACGAAGCCGCCGCGTCCAGATTAAAATAAGACGAAGGACATAGTCGTGTTTTTGTTGGCCTTCGACGCGATAATTTCCGTCCCGTCTCTCGCGCGTTATTAAATTAAAAAAGTTAAAGGTTTACCGAGATGGTCGACAAGTACACATGCATAACTAATTACTCCCTTCGTTGCGCTTCCTTCGCCACACCCTTCTGTTTCCTGCCTCCCCACAACGAACTTTGCCGACGGCGCGCGCGTTAAATATGTAAATGAATTACGAGATTAGTGTACAGTCAACTTAAGCAGTCGATTTAAATGCACCGCGACGGACCGAAGGTGCGCGGCAGCGGTGGCGACGAAGGGGGATGATTGAGGGTCGAAGGTCACTCAAGCGATTGGAATCGCGGAAATCGAGGAGGAAAATTCGCGAGGGCGCGGCTTGAGAAAAGCGAGCAGGGGGCGGGGGGGATTCTTCGGCAGCGGTGGCGATTTGTGAAAACCGAAAATTCAATCTCCGCGTGCCGCCACTCGTCAAGAATTTTCTCGCTTCTTTAGGCACCCACCCCTTCCTCGCCGATCGGATTGAAATCCGAATGTCGTCGAGTTGTTCGGGCGCATTCAGGAAACGGATTTTGGGACTTCAACAGGTTGGGAATTCCGCACGCATCCTTTGAAGCATCTGTCGACAGTGTGCCACCTGATTGCTCTCGCCATTCTCTTCTTTCTTATCTTTATTAAACAGGAAATTAAAATCAATGAATTGCGATTTATGTTTACAATGTCTCTGTTGATCGAATTTGAAAATGGAATTTATGATATCCGTAGAATTTATCGAGAAAAATGATAATGGAACTGTACCAAGACAATGACAGATCTCAACATTATTACAAATCAAGTATAATGTGTATAATTTTATACGTAAATAATTTGCAAGCTTTAGGTTAATTAAATGTTTAATTGTAAAATAGCAATGTGAGATATGTAGCTGTCCGTTAAAAATCAATTCTAAGTATTCCATTGTGAAAAATACCTCATTTTGAAGAATTTTAATTATTTGCTGCTTTACATCAAGCGGAAATCTCTGAGATTGTTTAAATCACAATGTAATTACTGTTGCAATTAAATTTTATTCTTTTGCTTCTTGTACATGTTTCACTCTTTTTCTGTATTAAAAACAATTTGTTATGTCTATTTTCAAGGAGAAGTTGCTATTGAAAAGTAATTTGTAATCGTTATCGTTACTCGAGAAGTAATGTCGTTATAATTTCCGTTATTTTTTCATCAAATTTTGCAGACCTTTTTTCTAGAACTTTTTAGGCTTGTGCTGTTTCACATATATGTATGAGGTGTAATAATTATATGTGTGCAAAGTAACGATAAAAACGATTATATTCATTATCATTATCCAAAGAAATATAACTATCGTTATCGTTATTAAAAAGTATAACATCGTTATTAAAAAGATAATTATAACGATAAAAGCATTACATAGAAAAAAGATTAGTCTTGAATCAAGACAAATATTCTCATATATAAGCACGAATATTATATTTCTCTTAAAATTTTTAGTCTTAATTTGATTGAATTCGTATTAATGCAAATATTACTTTGGTTCAACTCAAGACTACAAATTTTCTATATGAAGATTATCTTTTTTGTTCTGTATACAAGTAATGTGTTATATCTACAGTGACACAAATGTTTACTCCAAAGGATAGTTTTTTATTTCAGATAGATTCTTTAGATTTATTCTTTAGATTTATTTATTTTCTGAAAACTCAATTTTATCTTTTATTTTATAGGAAATTCTTTTTTAATTAGCATTTCAATGTCGTAATCTAATGAGTAAATTTTTAAAATAAAATATATAAAATATAAATATAAATAAATATACTTTGTATTGTGTTATAATAATTATATTTTTAATTAAAATTATTCAGATCCGTTTTAATTTTTTATTATTTCCAATTTCAAGTTATCAGAAAAAACTGTGTTATATTTCATTTTGATATACTTACGCAAAAAATTTTTGTAATACGCAGATTCTTGACAGCCACAAACATGTAGGAACAAAATTTTTAGATTTTTATCCTTTATTTTTCTGAAGAAAATATATCTTAATTTAGCCTGTTTTTCGTTGAGAAATGATACGTGTATAGCATATTTTTCAGCAATATATAATATTTATATCTTCTTGAATATTGGGAAATATCGTGGTCGTAGATAAGACGCTAACAGTTAAACATAAACAAGGTCGTTATCGAGCGATCTTGTTTATACTCGATAGACATTCGAAGTGTGGGCCTCGCGATGGACGGATCCTCTTTCTCTTTCACAGTATTTCTCACACGTGCTCCGGAATAACAGACAGGTCGAAAATGTCTTCGTGAGTATTACGTGATATTTCGAAATAGTGAAGTAACTCGCTTGAAGGCGCAAATTCGAGCGCGTTGCTGAGGAAGAACGAAGTCTGTTGGACGTAATAAAAAAAATGCAATATCTTCACGCTCGTGCGATGTTCGTGCGTGCGTCGGGTTTTAACTCACACTTTCCCACATCTGACAGAAGGAAAGTCGAGGAAACATAAATCGATTCGAGAATGTTTCCGGATCGTTTCTTGACATGGGACCATATCGGAATGTTCGGAATGCTCGTGAAGTCGCGCTGCGTATTGTCGTCGACTCGAGTGTAGCCGAGGAAAAACGGAATTAGCCGAAGTCGCATCCGAAACATTTGTGTGCGTTGTATTTTATAATTTGTAATTCTCATTTGTATAAGGAAAATAATTAACCATAATCGAACATACTTGACATTTCTATCAAGAGTTCAAGGCTCTGTCAGTATATGTAAATGAGGTAAATATTTATTTGACTGTTGATATTTGGATATTGAGCATTTCGTGTTGAGCATTTCGGTCGGCGCGAATCCGAACACACCGAGAGAAAACGAAGTTAACCGATGCGTTTTCGCGCATTGTTTCGCGCATAGATACAAGAAACGTGGTTGCGCGCACATGAGTATTACCGTAAGAAAGTAAAAATATAAGAAATGAAGTGATAATAATATAATATTGTTTTTTATATCTCTGCATATATGTATAATGTTCTATAATTCGCTATTTTTTATACTCTTAGAAAATTGAGATTAAATGCATAGTGTATTGTGTCGAGTTATATCGAGGCATAAAAATCAAATTTTGCATGTGTTTATTCGATTTCAAGAACAACAATCGAAAATAAGTGAAATAGGATGTGTAGTGTAAGATTATTTTAAAATAATTAAATACGGAGACATTGGATTATCATTGTTGATGAGAACAAAACAGCACAATGGATGTGGCAAGATGTAGCAAATCATAATAAGTAAGTAGGTGTATAAATATTTTTCTATTTTTTTTTAGAAATAGTGGTTTTAAACTAAAATTTGCATAACTTGCTTAGTAAAATTTTGCGTTCGACAAAGCCCTCGTGTATAGCAATTTACATAGAAAAACAATGATATAAAAAATGTCGAGTATTTTTGCGCAAAGTTTGATGAGTCCCTTGTGAACTCCATAGAAATAAAAATTCTATACAGAATTATGTATATACAAATAACGTTCACTCTTACGGACAATGCTTTCTTGGACATACACTCAAATCTGCGATAGTTAGTAATATAATTTCATTAGCGCAATTAAATATGCTATTGATTTCTACTAAAAAAGGAAAATGAAGTAAACATAGCAGAAAGCATTTATTTTGAAAAGATTTATTTTTCTAGAGAAAATTTTTCAAGATTTTATTTTCCATTTTGTTCACAGGTCACAAATGTTTAACATGTTAAACTAATTATGTTAATTCTATTCTTACTCACGTTTTATTACAATATAATTATAATTAATTATATATAAGTAAATATTACAATCATTGTCATCTAAATAAATGAAGAAGAGAACTTGTTTTGTATCGGTTAAAAATATTTTATATCTTTCATCATGAATTATATTTCCATCATGAATTCAGGCACAAGTTAAATTAATATAAAAATTAATAGAATAGAAGTGAAACTATAATATTTTATCAACACTATTTAGTCATGTTCTCAGTGTTTTAGTACTGTAAGATCGCTGTATATACCTTCAACTTGATATACATTGGCTATTCTGTCATCTATTTGGCTGGCTTTATCTACTAGCTAAAACATCCATTTCTGTAATTAGATATTTAAGGCATGTTACAACGCGATCGATGTCATGAATATTATCGTAGCATCAACTCAACAGAATTTCTACCGTGAGCCAAATATTGGTATAAAGTGAATTCTGTTTCACTATCATATGCATTTATTATAATATTTTCGTAATTATAACTTTCGTAATTCGAGACTCGTTTAATCAGAGAGTTAAGTTTTTTAATATTTTTAATATTTAGTTCTCCTATAAACAAATAAAGTATTTATTATGTTTAAAAGGGGCACGTATCTGTGGAATCAGTTAAAATATCTTTCATTCTCTGATCTTCGCTAGGCCGAGATAAACTTCGCTACGTGTGCTGACCTTTCATTGTCGAGGTGGACCAGCTTCGTTACGTTCTCCAGCTGACACGGCCGTTTCCGTAATTAGAATTTCCATTTCCATCCGCTCCGCACAGTGTGTTTTTACTTCTGTTTACACTTTCATGTTCGTAGAAATGTGAACTCCCGCGCGCGTACGCGTATCCATTCGCCTCTCTTTACCCCTCTCAACCCCTAGTACGTTTTAACCCATTTCTATGAAGAAACCCGTGAATGTTAACGCGCTCTCATAAGATCGTTTTCGAGCACCGACGTTGGTAACGATCTCTTAATCCACGAGAACGTTAATCTGTTTCTTATCCGCGCTTGCGCTCGCTTGTAAATTCCATCATGGCCCCATATCTATATCAGTCTGCAAAATTTCGAACCACGTTAATATGTACTCACAAAAGGTTTTACACATGTTAAATTAAAATTTTTGTTCCAGAAATTTTTGTCAAAATTAACAATTTTCAATTTTCGTAAAATATATGGAAAGTAAAGTTTTCAGGAAACATAGCTCAGAGCAAAACGTAGAAAAACGTAAGTAGTAAGACTTAAAAAAGTAAGAAAATTGATCAATCACATTCGATTATTCTTCTTACAGTTGAGAAATAATCGTTACTGATTTGTCACTTTTTTTACTGCTTAGATCTTACTACTTAAGTTTTTCTATGTCCTAATTTTCTATGTCCTACGGTTTTAATTGAGCCACATTTTCTAAAAACTTTAATTTATTTTTTACGTATTTCACGATAAAAGAGTCGAATTTTGAATGGTTGGCATTAAATGATTTTTTTCTTGATTGATAATTGCTATTTCCTGTATTTGTTTTACTAATAATTGCAGAGATATCCAATTTTTAAATTAGCAATCACGATGTTTAACTTGTCTTTCTTGAAATATGTGCATTATAAACAGGGATTACAAAGTTAAGATTAACACAATTTCCCTATTATTTTTATTATAGAAATAAAAAAATTATATTAATGTAATAAAGTTTAATCCATTTGAGACAGAAATTAAATGCATCATCGACGCATATGCTAACTGCGATTTACATTGGTACTTTTCAATGAAATGAAAAAAAAATTGCTCGATAATGCAATGGTTAATATCAACTTTCGAAACATGCAAAAGATAATAAATTTTTTTGTTTCTTTAACAGTTTGAAAAAACATGACCTATAAGCGACAAACGTTGGCTTCGATGTATAAATTAATGATTGTTATTCAATTTTTAAATATTTCATTTATTATGTCTTTTGTCTAAAAAATCTAAGCAAATTTTTTTTAAATAAGCCCTATTTAATTAATAACTTAATATTTAATAAAAAATATGTTTTGAACATATTGGGACATGTATGTCTCATGTCGGATACGACGAGATCAGGACTACTGCTTGTGCGTTATTCGTACGCGTAAATTTGGCATGTTCCTTGATAATCACCTTGATTAATTATCGTACGAGGCAAATTCGATTGACGTTGATGAAATCCTGGTGTGTGTTTGTCGCGTGCCAACGCATTATTTCCCTGTTTATTCACTTAATCCGGCATCGTTCATCCCTGCGCTTTCGATTAAGGACTGACCGACAACCATTCCAACGTCGGGCTGATCTCCAATTTAGATCTCTCCCTGTTGTATTCGGTGCGATGCTAGGACGCGAGATTAGATGATGTTTCGTCTTATGCACTGTATAGTACCGGGATTATAGACTATAAATGCGCGGATATACCAACGTTACTAGATGATACGTGTATACGTCACCGTGGCTTTGTCGTGTCCGCCGGCTGTCACGGCCATTCCCGTAATGGAACGTTTGGTCCAGATTGAGTTTACCCTCGGGTCTCTCGTGCAATCGGAATGTAAAAGAGGAACTCTGCTTTCGCGCCCAGTATATTTCAATTTCTCGTTCCAATTTTTAGAAAGAAATAATAATTGGGACTGTGTACCAATACTAGAAAGCTTTATCGTACAAATCGATACGGAAAGAACGATTTTGCCGAAGTATTTATTTAAAAATTGCATCAGGTACAGATTTGTAATTGAAAATAACTTTGTTGGACCGTCAAAATAACAATGTAAGATGATAATAATAATACTCCAAAAGTTTTTGATTTTCTAACAATTATTTTCAGTTATATTATTTTGATAAATAATGTCTAAGTATGTCAAAAAATGCATTATTATCATAATTAATACATCAATTTTTTAAATAAATATATATATATATATTTATATTTTATATTTAATGTCAGAATATAAATGTAAATTAAATGTAAAATATCTCGTAAATTATTGATTTTTTGTACTTTAATATTTTTATATCCAAAATGATTAAAGAAATACGTATTATCTTATAACAAAAAAATATATGAATCCATTTTAAAAAATGGCGATTAAAAAAATCTCGACAGACTTTATATACAAGTCAATATTATAATCAAGTGACCTCTTCAAAACTTACAATCTACAAATTTTATCTAAAACATTTTTCTGTGCCTTCTATATTCCTCGAGATATCTGTCTGGGATAATTACAATGAAGCATCCCGTATATTACATATATAATTGTGTCTATAAATCGTAATAGATGATTAGAATTGTAGTATTATATTTGTAAAATTTATTATAATTTTTTGTAACAGTGTAACAGAGATATTTCGCATAACGACATTGAAGTATACTATTATTGCCGGATGTTGAAATGAAAAAAAGGTGAGGATTCAACGTTACTACAGCTAGGTACGACCGCGAATCGCGACTTCCCTTCGACGATTATCGTTGCTGCCCTCGATACGAATTGCGATATCGTTACACGGTCGAAACACTCGGCTTTCGATATTTTAAAATGGAAATCCGATAGTGCGCAATACTCGTACGGCAATCGAATCGAATTACGGCAACATCGCGCTTGATTCGCGCCGAGCAGATATTATATATGCATATTTATGGACATTTATGGAATGCGATTCGCATTTGGCGAAACGGCCGGCGATTTCTTCAATGGGCGAGATATCGTTACAAATTACTAGTTGTGTAATTAGCAAATTTGTAGTCAATTTGCGGTGTTGGTCAGTCATCAAATACCGATAATCAATGCAATTTCTGCGTTAAATTATGATATAAATAATATGCAGCACTCTGTACATTAGCCAAATCGCTCGCGTTTCATTCATTCAGGGGCCAAACGCTCATTAGACAGCGAATTTCAGTTTTCTTTTCTTTTCTTTTTCAAATTTAGCCGTATCTACAATTTAGATCATATATCATACCTCGTGATATGTCGTATATATATCTTGTTACACGCGATTCCGTCACACCTGGATAACTCGTAGGTAGAATACACGAGTACGCGAATTACACGTATGGATGCAACGCACGTTGTTACCGCGCGTGCAATCACACATAGATGGATGTCTAGCGACTGACGTTAATCACGTCTCATAATCGGTTCTCGGAATTAAGCTCGGACGTCCGTTTCCCTGATTTTGGCCATTCGCTTCTCGATGATCTGAAAACTAAGTCTTGGGAGAGTAAAGGAGTAAGGCGGAAAATAGGGTCAAGACGGGATAAATGGGGGTAATAATGGGGAGGGGGGAGGGAAAAGAAAATAGTGCTGAAATTATGCCCCGACATTTATTTTATTTAATAAATTTCTAACTTTTTTTATTTTACTTTATTTTATTTAAAAATTATTTTTCTTTGATTTATTTGTTTTATTGGAAAATTTGTTTCACTTCTTTATCTCTGTTAAATCTTTTCTTTTGTTAAGATATAAAGAGAATTACAAGTCGAAATAACATTATTTAACGGAGTAAAGTTTAGCGTCTATAAAGTTATTTACCGTTGCGCCCTCGCTACGAATTTATTTGTTACGACGTATTTGTTCATGCCCCTTTCACCATTTGACCGCAGGATGTGATCCGAATACCGAATTCTTCCAGGTTTACTTTGGTCACTCTCCATCCCCTTTCTTCGTTCGGGGCGAACACGATGATCGAGGCAACGTCGGCATCGCCATCGACAGCCACGACGAAGACGGCAACGACAGCGTCGAGCAGACTTTTTGTCACGGAGAAAGGGAAGTCCCCGGGAAGTAAGGATCGACCTTCGGGTTATCGGGAATCCCAGTGCGGTGAATCTCAGGAAATTAGTGTCGACGAGTTCCCCGCGCGATTTGTTGCTTTTCCCGTCGGGAAATGGGGGTCGAGGAAAAGAATTTTTGCGACGGCAGTGTTTACCCGCCAGTTTGGGCAAATTCAATTTAACACTTAAACGGCCGCGGGGGGATTTATGCTCGCACTTAGAGGGAGGCTAAAATATGTATCCCTCGGCGAAAGTAAAACATGTTGGAATCAAGGAGGACGTAATCAACTGATGAGGGTTTCGGGAGTCATGAAAAAATTATTTCTATTCGAGAGCCGTGCGTATAATTTCCAATCTGTGTTTAGATCGCGTCGGGAAATTAACGGTGCCGGAGACAATTTTACCCCAATTGACGATGATAATAATTATGCCAAAGGCTCTCTCAAACAATCTCGCTACAACTGATATTCGCACGAGAACGCCCTCGAAAATCATACTGCGTAGTTCGCACGTGTTCGCGTTGCATTGTTAAATAAACTTTTGCGATGTGATGGCGGGTAATCGAGAATCAAAAGGGGATCTAGTTGAATGGATGTTGCTCGCGAAATGAATATTACTGGTTATTAGGTAGTTCAGCCGATTAGCTAATTGTGCTTGGCTCCTCTTTGTCAGAGGATGTGTCCCGGTTACTCTTTGTTAGAGAATGTTCTCTGTAATTGTTGACAATATTTAGCGCGCGGTTAATACACGGCTTTGTTGGGTTCAATCACAAAAGTGGATCGTTGCGGATCGTTCGATCCGCAACAATCAGCCGGTATGTGTTTTTTACAATATTAATATCATTTTATAAAATATTTCTAACGCGTTTAAATATATAGTGTCTAGTAGTCTCTCTTTTCGGTTACAGTTTTATAATATTGAAAAAAATTAATTGTTCGATTAAAAGCAAGCTTTATAGGGAAAGTTCCCATTATTTTATAATATTTGAAATAATTACATCCCATTAAAATTGTAACCGCATCGAATAATGTTGGAGACAACTAATTTCTCTATCTAGATAGATTTAAACAAGAATTCGTTCGCTCAGAGTGTATGCAATTTGGATTTAGGATGACGAAGAGTGAGCCCGGTAAATTCGCCTTAAGCGATACCCAGCTGAGCGTGAATTCGCGCGCGAATTCACGTCGCTTAACGAAGTTTGTAAAACAAGTGTCGCGCTCGCGCGCACCTAATTGCTACTTCATTCTAGCATGGAGCAGAACTTAAGGCGACCGGAAGTTCGCTTGTGTAACATCGTACTCTTTCTTACGTTCTTACGTTCAACCAACTTATACCGGAATACCGATAGTTCGACCCATTCGAACTCGGACCGATTTCAAACGTTCCTTCCCGTCCTAATTGCGTAATCGCATACACAATGCCGTGATATACTTTCCCACTATCATTTTGATACACTTTCCCATTATCATCTTTTAACACCGGAGATTTAGCCGATTAGAGTGAGAGCATTGGACGAGCTTACGATATTCCATTCAGGCCTGTTTAAAATTTCAATTGAAACTCGTCTGGGCCATTTAGCAGGAAAGCCGGAAGGTGTATAAATAAAAATGAAAGAGGCGCCCAAGAAAAGTCACCGCGCGAGAGATCTCGGCGACGTCGCTTAATTTAACGACGATGAATCCGTTGTCCCACAGCGGCCGTTTTATACGAGGTGGCCAGTTTATACTGTAGACTGGAAATAACTCCCTCGTAAGCGATATGATCCTGCTGAGGTCGCTTGCTAGGATAAGTTAGAATGGCGCGATGGAATTGCTTGAAATCTCTTTCTCTAAAAAGTCGTATGAGTAATTTATATAGAAAAATTTCAAGACCTACATTAAAACATTATACAATATTTTAGAAAAAAAAAAAAAAAACATTAATTAATTCTTATAAAACACGATAAATTACAGCGCAGCATAAATATGACGTGAAGTATAAAGAAAAAGCAATTTACTCCGCAGGTTTTATCGTAAAGAAATTTTATTTTTGAAATTTAAAAATTTGTTAACCATGTTGCTTTTCATGACACGATCATAATTTGTTAGGATATCTTTTCCTTCTTTAGATAGGCTTACGTGCTTTACAATGTGCGTGTTTTATAAAAAATATGCGATGCGTCCCATTCACAGGATCCATCGGGCTTACGGTAATCTTCGACATCGTTTTCATACATTACGTTAGTCAATATATTTATTCGCCAGCAACATATAAACAGGTAAGTACTCTTTGTTGGCGGAGGCGAAGAAACTCTTGAGCGTCCGAGATCAAGGAACTCGACCCTTTTCGTCGGGGGATAAAGAATCTCCCGCTCACCTCTCCCTTGTTTCGTGTTTACGCGTTTTCCCTAAAACGTAGCCGTTTCTTCTGTCGGATTAGTTATACGCGCAGCCGACGCATTTAGCGAAATTAACGCTCCCGAAAGTGTTTCTTAGATGGCACGATAAAGATGCGTTTTTATCGCCCATGTTCGTTAAATTTTACTGTTTCGAAAGGACGAATGAAACATATTATAGTATTAAATTTTCTATATTTTTACATATTTTTTAAGAATAATAGTGGTACAATACGTTCAATTTTTCGCATTGTTTATACGCTATTGCATACCCGCGTAAAAATTTTGGAAATACTTTCCGGACAAACTAACGACGCTAAAACTAAAAAAAATAAAAAAAAAAAAAAAAAAAAAAAAAGGAAAATAGTGTTTCGTGTAAAACGAATGACTGGATTTTTTTCTACGAAAATTGTTCCCCGTGTTTCACGTAAATCGGGAAGTAGCTTGTGGACTTTTCTGTGGCGCGCGGAGGTCCTCTCGGCGGGTAAAGCCAACGCGATTATAAAGGAAAAGTCCTGGGGATATACTCGCGGTTTACGGAGCCGGAACGAAAGTCGACTTTATATACCGCTTTTACCGCCACCCTTGTGCATACAGGGTGGACACAATTCTGTTTGAGAACTTGCATCAAGCTCCCCCCCTCTGTTGTTTACATTTTTAATTCAATATTCTTTGCCTCCGCCATTTCCGACGTCAAAGGGATGCGATATTAATTCGATTGCGTCCGTTTTTAAAAAGAGATTCCAGAAGTGCCATCGTTAATAAATTTTTCAAATATAATGCTCGATTTCTTAGATAGCGCTTGGTACTTTTTGGATTTTTTTTGTTCCAGACGTTTGATTACATGCTTGCTCATCTTATATCTCTTCGTCTCGTTTCCATTATTATCTTCCAAATTCTTTGACACACGCATTCTCCAAAGCACTTGCTATATAAGAAAAGAAAATATAAATAAAAGTCAAAAATTCTTATTATTACTTTCCTCTTCTATCTTTTCATTTCGTTGATATTTATGTGTTTCATAAAAGTTCTTTGTCTCTTTTACATTTGTACGAGTATATTTGTATGCATAAAAAGGATCATCCCCTACATCCTATAGATATATGTGTTTCAGCGGGCAATAATGGAATTTTGTATGTTTGCATTAAGATTCTCGCCGTTAAAAAGAATCCTCAGATGATACAAAAAGACATAGTTTCTGCTGTTCCTGCGCATTTGAAGAGGTTAATATTAATGCATTTGTACAAAATGCTTTTTCTTTGCCTTTCTACTCATTTTCTTTCTTTTTGTGGTTTTTTTTCCGGACTGCTGATAGCCTGATTTTCTGTAACAACGCGACGCGAGTTTTAAAGGCGGTGCGTTATTGTTACGCACATAATTATCTGCATATGCAAAAACGGCAAAAAGACGAAGTACACGAACTTGATTTTGCGATGATTACGACAATCATGATTTTCATGAATTTTGACCCTAGACTTGTTATAACGTTCATTTATTTATTAAAGGCATTAATTATTATTATCATATTTTTATCAAATTTACAGTTTATGAATTGCAAATAATATGTTATCATATATTTATTAGAAATATATTTTATTTTTTGATTACTTGAATTCACATTAAATTAAGTAACGTGAGTTTAACGAATTAATTATATATTCAGAAATTTTAATATTGCGATGTGGATTGTAATTATATTGTATAATTTTGTATAATTTTAGTCTATCTTATTTAAAATTAGCGATTATAAAATTTGCAAAAATAGTTTTAAATTAAAATATTTTAATTAAAAGTGTTTAATACATGATGTACAGATGTACATACATAAGTTATTCTGTTTGTTCTGTTTGTTATTGCAGTTGCTCGAAAATTGATGTGTAATCGAGATTATAATAATCCAAATGGAAACATTTTTTTAATAACATTTAAGAAGAAATATGTAATATATTTAAACAATTTTTTTAATTTTAATTTAATTGTTACATAATAAATGAGTTATAATAGAATTATCCTATAAAAAAATATTCTTATTAATACAACCATAAAAGAATGTTTACATAACTCATAATTAATTCAAGATATATTTAAGCAATTTATTATAATATATTCTGTGTTTGTATATGTAATATAAATAATCATAAAACTAAATAACAATGCAGAATATTTGCATACAGTTCTTAGAATACTTTTGTTTCGCTAAATTGCGAAAATTTATGTTACAAAGATGCGTGTGTGTATATAATTGAAAGTAATACGAAACATTCTTTTTGGTAGGTCATTATTTTCTAGCTTTTTACACATTTTATGAACCGAAATAATTTATGTTCCTTGTAATTCTTTTAATAAACTTTTAATAAGCAATATAATACGTGTTAAAGTCAGTAACTTTATAAATAAACGAAAACATTTGTTTCGTGATTAAGGAATTTTAAACTGATTTTTGTTGATAAAGTCATAAATTTCTTCATATAAGAGCGAAAGTATAAAAATAACTTTTTAAAATGGCAAACATAGTTATGCGAACTAACTTTCAATTCGAATAATAATCACCGGTTGGAAAAATGCTTAAAAATAAATTGGAAACAAGGTCCGCTTAATGGTTTGTTGGCGAGTTGAAAAAAAAAAAAAACAATTGTTCAGGTCATGCGGCCTGGTTAACCTAAAAAACAGAGACTACGAGTTTTATTAAACCGCGTTGTATACTGTAATTTATAAATCGAGCGTGTTTTCCGCATCGGCTTTAAATCGCATAATTATTTTTAATTTCCATTCAAATTCAAATAGATTTCACGCTGACTGTATATATTCACAATTTGTTCGCGTGTTTTTCCAGTAAAAAAGGGATGAAAGAATTTAGGATTTCTTCTCGCTTTCCTAAATAAAGTTTCATGTTGGGAATACTTTTTTCTTGGCTCAGCTAAACTTATCACGGATCCTTATTCCGCCTTTAACAAAAAGCGAAATCGCCTAACGAGGAGGCACTCGCAGAAAAATGTTTTAATCCTTTAATTGTTGTCGAGGCTTGGGAGAGTCTTATTAGAGTCGCCTCTCACAATCGCGAATCCTTAAAGAACAATCCTTAAAGAACAATCCTTATCAATATGCCATTATGCACGACCGTAATGACCGTCTTCTTTCGGTATCGTTAAGAAACTGTGCAATTCATCTTTTCTTGCGTTTCAAGTCCTGCTAATTGACGACAAAGACGAGCTCCTTAGCTTCGCCGTATCGTTACGGCGGAAGGGATAAATATGAAAATAGTATACGCCTGCAATTGAAGCACGTCCTGGATTCGTTATTACCGGCTTCTATTTAACTTTCCAGCTGCCTGCCTCGTCCTTCGAGAGCATATTCCCTCCGTCGAAGAACGATCAGAATATTCAGAAACGTATATACGTGCGTAAGACAGAAATGTGTTTGTTATTTATTCCGCAAACATTTTTGAGAGAAGTCCTTCCCGTGGAAGATTAGGGAAGTTTCATGCATTTTTAATTTTACTCTGAAAATAAGTTTTAGTAATAAGATAAATTTCTATTTGCATAGAAATTTACTTGGTCTCGGCGAAATATTATTTCTTCTTGCTTACATATACAAAAATATATAATTATTATGACGGACGGCAAATTTGGTCATACTTTTTGCGTATATATTTTGCGTGTGCATTCGTGAGTTTTAATAATTTAGCCAATTACTATGTTAAGCTATAAATTACCCTTAACTATTTCTTACGCGGTCGCGTTGCGGCTGCGGTGGTAATTTTGACGCTTATCATTATGTGCGGAACGTTGCATCGCGAGTGCAGCGTGTTAAAGTGGGTTTCGCGAAGTAGTTTGGACCGCAAACTCTAGATGTTCCAACGGATATCTACGTCGGATAAATTACAGCTTAAATTATATAATCTAGTCAGATCCTCGCTGAGAGAAAGCAGAAGGCAGCGTCCAATGTCACCGTGTTATCCGATCTGAAACTGGCGGTCCTCTTATAATTGTCGTTATAATTGTCGCAGCGCCGCGCGAGACACTAAAAAAATTATTTTTGTCCCTAAATCATCCACCACGTAGTTCGGAGTGCGTTGAACTGACAGCCCTTTCTCGAGAGCTTTCCTCTTAGAGTTTTTCTCGCTCTCTCTGTACTTTGTTGCTATTACAAAAAAAAAACAATAAAAACCTCGAAATCGCGACGCTCTTAGCGAACATAATGGTACCGTCGCCCGAGCCTCTAAATCAACTCGACTTTCCCCTACCACCACGTGTGAC